AAACAATAATGTAATGGTAGTCACTCTCTGAATGATGTGATGGTCCTGAATAGGGCAGTTTGTCTTGTGCTAATGTTCGCTCAGTTAGTAAAGTGTGGGGGTCGAACGGGATTGACACGACAACACGACACTGTACTTTCCTAGTTTGGTTCTGTCATTAGTTTTGTATTCTTCAAGTTAATGATGGCATATATACTGTTTTGTTATAAGTGTATCAGCCAAATGTAGTTAATTTATTGTATTAGTACGTGTAGCCTCTGTTATTGGACAATATTGTACAGCTACGGGTTGAACATATCATTAAATAAATGTCAAAGATTTATCATCACGAGTTGTATAGGTCGAAGAGCTTCTTGCAGCCAACAATTTACCCTACAGTTTTGCTTCAGCACTGAAACTATGCGATGAATCATAAATTGCAAACATATTTTGTACACGTTTTTTTTTGATGTCTCAGAAAATTGTTAATGGGTTCATAAAAGGAGTTGTAGTCATTGAAGTCTATTGACACCGCTGCTAAACTGCCACTGTATGCATATTATTTTACCATCCTCTAAAAACAGATTTACAGTGAACCAAATATATTTACATACTGTAAGAAAACTTTGTGGTATGCCATTGGTTAGTGCATTTAATTTGTTTAATGCAATCATTGTGCCAATTATTTCTTATGGTAGCGATATGGGGGTACGTAAATTCGGAAATCGAGAGGGTACAAATAACATTTTGCAGATATCTATCAGGTACTTAGCATTAATAGTTGTACAAACAATGTAGCGATGTTAGACGAATGTGAAAGGCTGCCATTGTGCTGTTGTTAATTCAAGCGTTGTATCTCATATTGGTTAAAATTACTGAAACCCCAAAACATGTTATATCATGCTTAAACGATTAGACAAGACCGGCAGACTTGCTTGGGAAACCCACATAAAAATCTCCTGTTTAAATATGGTTTCGGCATTGTCTGGTTTAAAAAATAAGTTGGAGATACTGCAAATTTCTTAGAGATATTTACTCAAAGAATAAAAAAAATAGTGGCATGCCTCAACTTCACAATCATCCAAACTGTGTACTTTTGGAAAAATCAAAGTAGTATTATAACCTGGCAAGCAATTATAGACTAAAATATATACTGACGAATTTTCGCTGTTTTGGCCATAAACATAATGTAGAATTAGGCAGACACACAAAAATACAGTTAGATCAATAATTTTTTTAGTTTTTGCAGTGATACGTTCGAATTTAGCATGGTAGAAAATGAAAATTTTATATGTCCATTTTATAATGATCTAAGGGCTGATCTTTTGTCAATAACCCTATGCAATTATGCAAATACTGACATTCTGGGCTTACTTCGTCGCTACACAAACTGCCACACCATATATCAAATAGCTCTATATCTTTTAAAAGTTTTCAAGCGACGAGATGAATATGAATTCAGCTTAACTTAGTACCATATGTTTACATGGATGTTGTATTGTGTTTAAAACGTGCTATGCACTTTTCTACCCATTACATTTTGTACGATAGGCTGAGGCCCTGTACAGAAATAAAATTACATAATACAAAATTGACTAATACTAAAATGAATAATTGTAGAAAGATTTCGACATGAAATCGTGTCACTTTTATGTGCGCTAACATCTGCGAAGAGCGAAAAAACTCGTAAGTAGCCTTCTACCTTAAAATACTTAGACAATAATGCTAAGATAAGTACAGTCTTGTCTTTTTTGTGTACAACATTTTGCCGTAGTGGATCAATGGTGTGGATGTGTTTGTCTGTATGTGGGGAATGGCTCAGGACCCCTTCTCTAAAATGGTAAAATAGTTCAAAGATGTTATGTGAAATATCTTACCAATGTAACACAAAGTAAACCAATTGAATTTAGAACCGATAATATAAAAATGTCTGTAACAGAGCTCAAAAACACTTTTTGAATATTATAAAATTCACACATTTTACATCAAATATATAATTGTTGTTTTCGAACCCCCTATTCAAAAGTGCTGGCTACGGGCCTGAACACTGTGAATCACTATCATATGATGTCTGTATGAAACCTAAGATCTACATCAGACAGTGACATTGATGTCATCTGGGATAAACTGTGTTATGATATTTAACCATAAGCCCTTCCACTTGTAAAAGAGTCTGTTGCTTGTTAAATGTTTGTCTGTTCTCCGAAACAGTTTTCACAAAAAGATGCATAATAAGTATTACAGGCTGTGACCAAAGCGAATTAGCTTTGAAATTTCACAATAATCGCTATATTACTCCTATCAAAATAAGTTACAAAATATTTTAAACGTACACAAATGTACTCAAGCTTATTCATAAAGGTATGCAATAAATAGAATCACAACTGAGAAAATAAAACGGATGAATGATTTCGACATATACCTTCAACTTTTACACCATATACCAACACTTCGCTTATTCCAGGAAATACAGCAATCCGTTCCATAACCTCTGTAGTGGCAACGTTTTCCCCTTTCCACCTGTAATAACGAGTGGC